GGGGAACTTCGAAGGGTACAATTGAGGTCCATTGAATTGTGTGAAACTTTGATCCAGGAGACAAAGAGCATAAACTCGGTGAACTGAGAGGCCAAGGAATGCAGGGATTTCAAGGCAAACCCTAAATTCGCATGCGGCGATGTTTCCCCCAATCACAAGGATAATGAGATCAGACAATAAAAGCGGAACACTATGCATGGTATACAAAAGTGCAAGTAAAAGAGAGATAAGTACAAACCGTTTGCGTCGAGTTGACGATGCAGCGCAGGATGGAAATAAAGTTCAGGCGAACTGAAGTTTGCATGCGACTTATTGAATTAGAGAACCCAGGTTCTTTATACACGAAAGGAAGTAGGTGGTTGTTCAGGCTGAGTAAAGACGATTGTCAGTGTCCAAGGACCAAACAAAAACCATGTGGGCCGAAACCCCCTCCACTGTTGATTAGGGGAAACGACATTCACATATGAGATATTGTTGTGGGCTATAGATGGACCGTCATGTGTAACAGGCCCATGTGAAATAGCTTTTTCACTTGGTTATGTAGAATGGGTCCATTTATATAGCTATCTACCTTAGAAAAGTATACAGACAAAAGCACACATTCTAAAATGAACTGTTCCCTTTACACTGGCGGCAATAAAAGTTGAGAGAGTGAAATGGGCTGTGCCACATTTCTGCCAATTCATTGACCATTTGTTTTTTATTGATCAATTAAACTATAATAACAGGAAATTCTCTTTCGGTAATGTACATTTAACACACGGGAAGATTTAATTGGGATGGTTCAATACATCCATCCCAATGACGTTTTTTCAGAGTAAAGGGTTTTTGGAACTCAAGCGATCAATATGGTGCACTTGTGCTTGAATGGTGAGTATTCATGCAAGTGAAATACATAGATCAAATTATTATGATGTTGTAAGACCTTCAAAGTTGATGTAATGTACTACCAAATGAGTCACAGGACTATGTTGCTTAAGACGATCCCTTTCAGCAGCGGGTTGTTGGTTGGGAGGAGGAGTTGAAATTAGGTGTGTCATTTTCTCATAAACATGAATCAATTGACAATGCATCGCTAGGGTTGGCTGCTTGTTAAAATAAATGAATACCATTTTGAAGTAGTGAATTTGTTAGTCAGTAAATTACTCGTAGCATTAAGTAAACAAAAAGAGTTAGGTTTTCATTTATTTATTATGATTTGACAAACACATATCTGTATAGGCAGCACAAATTATTGGTTGGTATGCGTGTCAAAAGAAACAACAACAAAAAAAAAAAAAAACAACTTTGCGGATGAATAATGTATTTTTCATGGTTTCTATTGGTTTTCTAGTTTTAACCAAACCAAAGCCATTAAGTTGCTTATTGGTTTAAAACAAACCAAACGAAACAATTTGCTTTCCAATTGAGTTGTGTTTGGTTAAAACCCAAAAAACCCAAACCAAATGGTCAGTCATGGCCACGTTTCGACCAAACAAATATACAAACCAAAATAAATCAAAACAATAAAAACCTCCCACCCACCCGAAGACGGTTTAACTCCCTTCTTCCTTTCCCTCCTCCATCGCTCTCACCTACCCTCCAGGCCCTCCACAGAAACCTGACCATCCACATCCCCAACCCGCCATCTTCTGCTTCTCCTGCTTCCCGCTCCCGCCGCAAACCCCGTCCCTCCCACTACGCTCGCTCATTCGCCATCGTCGAACAATCCCAGCGTCGAAGCACCACTGCGCGCGGACCCCAATAACGCTACCGAAGCACGACGTTACTGTTCACTCGCCGGCGAGAAGGTTAACAGCCCAACCAAGCCATTGCATGCACTCATGATCCAGCCCTCCCTGACTGGCCGATATTAGTACCATCTCTATATCTCCAGGAGGGAAGTTCTAAATTCTTACCGCGTAAAGACCCATCCGAAGACGTTTCACCTCTCTTCCTCCCTGACGCCTGTTTCTGCTCTGCTCACTCTCCGGCCACCAAAGCAACTGGGAACCCATTCCAGCGCATGCACTCATTTTCCAGGTCCTCTCTCTGACTGATCGACGTTAGCCCTATCTCAGCATCTCTAAAAGGTAATCTCTAAAACCCTACCTCGGCAAAATCTCCCCTTTCCTTTCATCAAGAACTTCAACCAATTTTTCCAGACCACTCATCAATTACATTCGCTTGCTGGCCTTCAAATTAGGTTTTTCCAGAGCTAATATAATCTAATCATCTAGAATTTTTTTTTTTTTTAAGTTCGATACTCCAAGGAAACTTTGTATGCTTGTAGTGACACATTCATGTACTGGGGTGCTATTGTTTGTGTATATTCGGGTTTACATAATTAGTTGATTAGTTTTACAGCTCCAACATTTGTTGATAGAGTTGCTAATATTGCTACTAATTTAAATTATAGGTTCTTTTCCATGGGAGACTTCGTTTCAAATCTGCGATATGAAGTTGCCGTAAGAATTTGGGACCATGTAGAAACGATAGATCTCATCCCTATGCAATTGGATGTTGCTAATCAGGTGAATCAGATAACATGTCTTTTATCTATCCGGAAACTATATTTTATCTAAAGAATTTGCATCTAATTTGGTCTTATTTTGAACTCCTTATGTTTTGGCTTGTACCAGGGCAAGTCATACATTTTGAATGGCTGGGTAAAAGAATTGAGGAGATCTTGGAATGCCGACTCCGGCATATACATGCTGCACTTGACAATCGAAGATTTTATCACCGATCTTGAGGTCGTATGTCCATCAGCTTACTTACGGCGAGTCATGTCTGCTGTTGTTGGTCCTGATGAGATGGAAGATGTGGAGTACATTCCACTACTCAACAGGATTGGTGAGTCGCCATATAGGGCCTTGCTCACATTCGGACCTTGGAACAACGTGGAGAATCGTCTTGATCTCTTCTTGGTTAAATTGTTCCCGATTTTAGACTAAGTAGCGTAGGGTATTATTATTATGATCGGATTAATGTTAGTAATGGTCGACCTCGCTCTAGTTTCGAATTATCTAACCGCGTAATGAATATGTGAACGCAAATATTTTTTGAAAGGTTATTATCATTTTGCGGTGGTCCTTCATGTAACCATATTTTGAGGATCATATAATTGTGCTCTTTGTTGACTGTCACCTTGCTATTTGGTAAATTCCTTTTAAATTATTGTACTCTAGAGTTTAGAGTTGGAACGCGCTGGCAAAGCATTTAGGAAGGCGCCCAAACAAAATTAAAAAGGCCCCACAGGGCCAATTTAGTTAGATGAATTTGGAATGTATCAGCCGGGCTGTGTGTAGTCATTTGCCATGGGTTTTGCAAAAAACTCTGGCCCGATTACTTCATGAGCCACATAGGAAATAAGGCCATCTTCCCAGCTAAAATATAGCACCACGGCTGCTGAATATGGGTTCCGTGAGATTCCGCTGGAAACATTTAACCAGCAGTCTCTTGACTGTTCGAGCAACAACGACCCACCGTCCTTGAAGGACTCACAAAAAAGGAAGGAATTCTGTAGATATGACCGGGCCTGAGATGTGAAAGTCCCGATTGCCATGTTGTGTCATTTGTTGTACCAACGATCATAGTTCCCTTGCATACATCATGATTTAAAAGCATCGTGAATCTAGCGAAGAGAAGAAGCCAATTTTGAAATACAGATGCGCAGATGAAAACCTGTTTGTCGAGCAGGAGATGATGGGCCTGATGATCATCGGCTGATTCTTCTCGCCAGCTATGCAAATAACGAAACTGAATCGGGCGTTCCGTATATCCAAAAGGCAAGCGGTGGATTTCTTCTCCCCGATTCATGGTTGTAGCTGCAGGCTGTTGTGGCGGTTGGTCCTTCAATTGAGGATAAGAACGGCGAGGAGGTAACCCTATAGAGAATGTATGGATAGATCTTGGGCCGGCCCAACCGGCTCTTAACGGATCGTATATTTGACATCGATTAATTTGTTTTGTAGTCGCCATAAATCCAAATTGTAAACGGGGAGATTACGTAAAAATGAGAATGGTAAATAAAGCATTACCACGCCTCGCTATTTCCCTCATACATAGCAGTAAAGGTACAACAATACTAAGAAATATAATGATGTTGCCGACCACCTAGAATTGATGCAAGCCGATATTGTTCTTGTCGTATGACATCGGGGCCATTTTCAAAAGGAACAAAAAGACTTCGTGGGCTGCATACAAACACAAACCTAATGAGTGCCTGCTAATACATGATGAAATTAAGAAGAAACAAATATATTATACACATTACAAAGATGGACAACCAGTTGATCCCTATGAGATAGCAAGCCGGAGAAGGAGTCTTGAACATAACAGTAAAAGTCACCTTAAAACGAATTCTGGTAAATCAAAACACCACAATGCTTTAAATCCAAAAGTTAGAATTCGCATTATAATTTGGAGATGAAGGGAAGCAAATCAATGGTCTGAAACTAACCGAGACAGTAAAAAAGTATTCTAGAAATAGGCAGGTAAACAATAATATAGGTACCAAGTAAAACTGGCATGTTGTTTTTGGTGGAAGACGTGCGCAACAAACACGGGACCTAATAGAGTGTAAACTGCTGAAACTGCAGACAACCAAAAAAGAGGTAGACAGAACTACGGTAATTCTTGTCACATAGATCGATATGCAGTGCATCTAACTTGCTATGTTGAGCAAGAAAATGAGTGTAACACAAGGAACAGAAGAAGATAGGAGGGCACGAAAGTCAATCAGTTTGAGGACAAAATTACCTCAGCCAAACTGCAAAAGTCAACCTCCATCATCCAGGAGACGCAAAACAGGCACAAAGCAGCTTAACGGTTTGTTTAGGCAGAAGCACACAAAGACGAATCTGAAGCTGATCTGTAAATGCAAACACATGATGATGTCATAACAATACATAATGGACCAAATGGATTTACTTAACCAGCAATATATTCTGGAAGTAATCAATTTAGCAGACTTAAGCATACCATAATTCGACAACTCAGTTTAGAGAAGCAGTACCTTATAGATTGATAAATGCTTCTCTGTAAACAATATTTCGAGTATGATTGAAGGGAGTCTTATCATCATTAAGAATGAGGAACCGCAATCCAGCAGCAAATTTAACTCGAGAAATCGCAACATATAGCTGGCCATGACTGAACACGGGTTTTGGGAGATATACACCAACACTGTGTAGTGTTTGACCCTGGCTCTTATTTATCGTCATTGCATAGCAAAGACGGATGGGGAACTGCCTTCGTTTCAAAACAAATGGCCACCGATGATCATTTACATTGAGTACTATTCTTGGAATGGCAACAGTTTTACCATCGAATGTTCCACCCATAATGACCCCTCTGATAACATAATGGCCCAAATAAATTACCATAAGCCGTGTTCCATTACACAGTCCGATGTCTGGATTCAAGTTACGGAGCAACATGATTGGCGTGAAAACCTTTAGATCAATTTGGTGTTCCGAACATCCATTAAAGGAGAGGCTGTTTAGGAATTCTGTGGGATATTCGGCCTCAAGGCGAGCTGGATCGCTCGCATCTGTATGCAAAGTATCACTACTAAAATATGTCTGTCCTCTGCCCGGGACCAAAGCCAACATGTGAGAATTGATTTCAGTAACGTTGCTATTAGTTGGTGTAACAATAGACCGTTCAGTGAGGTAGGCAGCACTATGGAACTTACTGGAAAAGTCAGGATAAATCTCCGAAGTTATGGACTGAATGGCCGGTCCAGCATTCTTAATGATCAGAGATTCTGGAATCTGTATCCAATCAGGCGGTTGATTAAGACCTAATGAGCTTCCTTCCACATCTCCATTACCAACAGAAAGAGTCCAATCAATGAAGCTCATCCCATTAAAGGCAAGTCTTTCATTTACTGAGGAAGGTACAATACGCATGTTCTGAGATAGTTTGAGAACAGTGCAGTAACTCCAAAGATATGACCGCGTCAATGAAGCATCAACGCTTTCCTCTCTTCCACCATCGGTGACAATAGGCAACGTTTGGCGGAAGTCACCCCCGAGCAGGACAACCTTCCCTCCAAATGGTGTATAATGTTCCCCAGCAAAAGGAACATTCATAATATCACAAAAAGCTCGATCAAATGCTTCAAAAGACAACCGATGCACCATTGGAGCTTCGTCCCATATAATAAGCGAAGCATCAATTATCAACTGAGCAAGTGGCGTACCCTTTTTAATGTTGCACGAAGAGGCATGATCGATTTCTAACGGTATTTTAAATCTAGAATGAGCTGTGCTTGCATCAGGAAGTAATGTTGCAGCAATACCCGTAGAAGCTACCACAAGCACAACCTGACCAAGTTCTTTCAAGCGTGCAAGTATTGTCCTGTAAACAAAGGTTTTACCAGTTCCACCATGGCCATATAGAAAGAAAAAGGTAGGCTGATGTGCCATAGAAGAAGTAACAGCAGCCATTATGGTATGAAAAGCACATGTCTGTTGAGGATTTAAATTTTCCAAAGTGGGCAGCGAAGAAGCTGGAACGGCGTGACCCCCATGACGGCGAACATTTTCAGAAGGGGAAAAAGTCCCACCAGACGGTGGCTGACCTGTGGGAACTGGAAGATTGAAATGCAAGAGCGTTGTCGAGTAGGTATCTAACATACGCTGCAATTCCCACAATAATGTATTTTTCAGCAGTTCAGGCGGAATTAAATCATTATTGAAGGCAACCTCACGCTGACATCGATATGTGATATCTTCAGAAAGTAGCTCCCAAATCTGGTTGAAGAGCTCAAGTGGATCAGAGAGTTCACAAAACAGCAACATGGAGACAAACAAATTCCTTAGAAGGCCACACATTCCCCATTGACTAACTTCCTGGATCACAAGCAGCCATTCATCATCATTGGATAACAGACCCAATCGCTGGCAAGCAGCTTGATACGTTCGACATGGAAAACCATTAACTGTCCGTAGATCAGCATAACTGAGAGCTCCACGAATCTTGGTCAATATCTGTCTCAGGTAAAAGGTATCCCCGCACCCAGGATGAATGTAAACCACCCTGCCAAGTGAAAAACCTCTCTTCCGCTTTGACCATTTTTTGGTCCTCGAATTCCAAATATACCTATTGGGAGTTTGAGCATACAATAAAGATCTAGCATCTGAATCCTGTTGGTTCAAGGCAAACCACTGTGTTAGTGTTGTTTCTGCAACTGCGTCACGCGCCAAAATGCGTGACAATTTCTGTTTTTTCCTATACGGAACGCAATGGCGCCCCTCAAGATGGACACATAATCGCTGCACAGCTGGATTTCTTTCATGAACAGGAAATTCAAATAAGCGCCATGCTGCTTCATATGAAGATAGACTCCTACAGTCAAGGTACTGTTTAATTTCATCCAGCGGCGGCACCATACCAGGAGCACATGAGTCATTGGGTATCTGTGTAGGGTTCTCAGCCACAACCATAGACCGGTCAGGTCCTTTTGTGATATACTTAAACAGGTACTTGATCAAGCGACCCTGATGACAGACTTCAACATTAATATGGGCCTGAAAGAGCACAAGCAAATTTCGATTGTACGGAACAACAAATCTATTGTCAAGCTGAGTTGTTCCTTTCGTAGTTGTTATACCCAAATCACGACGGCGGTAGACTGTGTACCCAAATTGATCTGTTGTTGTCTCTGAATTGAACGACTTTGGAAAGTACTTTGAACATGAACCATCCTTCATACATACATTTGATGGATTATCAGGACCACACGGACCATGCACCATGAACTTTGTGACTGCTTCATAACCAACGGGATCAGCTATTGGATCTGGCAATTCAGCACACACTGTTGCATCAACATCAGCAGGTGTCTTAAGTCGATTCTTGGCATCCAACCACAATAATATATGAACATGGGGCAAACCTCGTTTTTGAAACTCGACTGTTTTGATGCCTGCAAAAGAGGTGACAAAGAAACACAGTGCAATGTAATACACCAAACTTGGCCAGCACTAACACACAAAGCACGCAGAGGGAACCATGAAACAGAACGGCAACCAATTACAAATGTCAATATAAAAAAAGTAACAAACAAAAGGTACTGAAGCTACCTGCGACCGTTTTCCCAAAGAAGTGCGACCGATGTAATTCATCCTCCAAAGCGTTTAGCTTCATTCTAAAAACTCTAGCAACAATTTCTGGTTTTAGCTCGCTCCTTGAGCCACATATATCACGAAATGATTCTGTAATCTCAGGCCACTGTGAGTTGCATGTAAAAGTAATAAAAAGATCTGGGCTACCATGGTGATGAACAACTGCCATTGCATCCAAATACAATTGCTTCATGTATCTAGGACTACCAGTATACGATGATGGCAAGACTACGTGGCCAACAGCATCCCCGGTTACATCACCTCTATTGAAAGCATCAGTAAGACCATAATACAATTCAGACCGAAGATCTTCTTGGTGTGAGCGAAGATAATACAAACGATTCTGCTCAACCGTAGCAAATGCATCAACAACATAATGCTGTAGAGCCTTGCCTCCTCGAATCAATGTTTGGCCCTCGTCATCTCTATGCTGAAGGCGAAAAGCATAGTATTCACATTGGGTGACAAATTTACGTTTAAGTGTTGGTGCAGTGCGGACCGGGTCGTATGGGATGCCAACATGAAAACCATCCTCCCCATATGGGAAAAGCACTGGGAAATGCAAAGCATCATATTTTGGATGGACAGTTGTTATCCTCTTAAGACCCTCTGAGCAATGATCAATTATGATGTCTCGCCCCTCATCATCAGGAAGGAAATCCCCAGGAATCAATCCAGCTAACTCAGCCCCTGTTGGGAGTTCATATTGGCGCGATGTTGTATCCCTAGCTCCAACTATCCTTAGTCGCAAATTTGTGGAGGCTGGATTCGATAACTGGCTGCGCACCCTTCGAAAAGACTTAACCAGTTCATTGGTCACATCAAACAGTTTCATGAGGCCAGTAACAATATCTGGACGCAAGGAATGCTCTGAGGAGGAAAAATTCGCAAGCCGATCCGCCAGCTCAGTCTGTGGATAAAAAACATACAGCTGTGAGTACCTTGGCTGACGACCAGCGACAGGAAGTAACGAACCCATACGATGATAGTTCTCGCCGCAAATGACAAATGAGTACGGTCCACGTGTATGAAAAGCTCGCGGATCAAGTTGAGCACCAAATGATGTAAAGGAGAATGCTGCGTTGTAAGCTCGAATATGATCTCTAAAATGAGCAGCCATAGGGCCGCCATTGACACCCAATAAATGCTCCAAATACTGAGGAGTTTCTTGCAGGAAAGGGAGGCGGACACGCCCTTTTTGGCAACATAACGTGTAGACCGGAGCAGCAGAACGATGTCTATTGAGCCGTTCTTCATACCAAAAGCGGGCACCACAGTATTGGCATTCATAATCTGGGAAACCATGATTGAGAACTCTGGTAAAATCAGGCTGTTGTGAAGGTGGAAGAGTAGCATCAGGAACACCATGCGAACTTTCTAATATAGTAGAGAGCGGAGATGGTAGAGGATCAGCAGTAACCTCTGGAATTTGTACGTTTGTTTGAGAAAGAAAGGAACGATCAGGAAGATCTAACTCCGGTAACTGCCGAGATCGGCGATCATATCTACAGACACGTCGGCTGACAGGATGCCTTGCAGGTGGTGTTCTCGGCACAAAAGCAGCGGCCAGTACAGCACAGTGTCGTTTCCTAGATAGTGAACGTGCAGGAATGAAGTTTGAAGATTGACTGGCTGAAGCCTGCGAGGAGAGTTATTAACTAAATATGTCAAAACAAGCACCAACAATAAGAAAGCAGGAAATAAATAGCCGACAAACAGACATTTAAAACCTGGAAGACTGACCATATTTAAGAGGAGCAAACAGCCGAGAGAGGTCTGTAAATAAAACCGCTAAAGTCTATATCAAGGAAGGCTTCATATAATCCAGAAAGGAAACAAACGGTAATTCAACATGACTGGTAAAGTGCATAAAAGGAGAACCAAACGTTGTTCTGCTGGACTAATAAAACAACAGCAAGGCCACAAATGAGAAACGTGATGCGAAAGAGATGATGAACAGAATGAGGCTTACTTAACATGTAATTAAAGTAGCAATATTACGAAAAAAAAGGAAGCTAACAAGTAATCATTGAGTGGAGGAATGTCAGACCTGAGGCAAGGAAAGGGTGCCCAAACTGCAGAGACAGGGAGCATTTAATGCATGGCAGAGTTAAATGGTAATTATAATAATAATAAACTCACAGACCTATTAAGTGCAACTATAATACAGATGTGGTGCTAAATTATCAATGGAGGGACTGCGAGCATAACAGGACAATTGGGCATTTGAAAACAACATTTAACCATGGACGAACACCATAAGCCACGGATACGTTTTTTAAAAGACGATATAAGGCGGTAACTGGGAATCCACATGGCAGGCAAAGTAACTGACCACATGATAGATGCACACTAAAACCACAAGACCTCTAACCACGACATAGCGCAAAATGTGTTTCGAAAAGTACATCAGCAAAGGGCAGCGGAAAAGGAAACAAATTCGCATCAATACTATGAAATTTGTGATAAGCAACCGAAAGCATGTGAATCCACAAGACATACTAATAAGGGGATATTACGGATAGCCACATTGGTTCTAAAAGGCAATAAACTCCACCGAAGTAATTAGAGGTTTGCAGTGAATCCGGAAGACAACATCAGTGAGGAGAAAAAACAAGGAAAATGAAAGGTAACGATCAACTGCACCAATCAGAGGACAATACTGCCTGGAAAGCATAAAGCGAAGCGTTTACATTACATAAGGACAGTTAGATGTCTGTTTGAAATTCACAAAATGGGCAGACCTATACAGCATTCCCTCACAGCGAAGAACAAAATGAATGTTCGGCAATCAACAGGCAGACTAACAACACATATAATACTTAAGTTCTGAGGCACCACCAGATAGTATCTAGACAGGGAATTAGGTAAGCAACACCCACCGAAAGCACGAAAGGAGACTGCATTTCCACAAGGAAAGTAGGGTTCTAGTTAGAAAACAACTGTTTCCTAGCAGACTTCTTACGGGGAGTCCTTGCAGGACATTTAGGCTTGACAATGGACTGTGATGATGACTCTATGGCCTTCCTAGATGGTGTGCGAGAACGTTTAGGCCTGGCATCGACATGAACCGGCGACTGAACAACCACTACAGGCAAATGATCCAGAACAGTTTCTGCAGTAGGCGAGGATTCTGGAGGCGCCGAAACAGCAGCCAAATCATCACCAGACAGCACATCCTCCAACTCAGTAGCATCGTCGACTTCAAGAGGGCAACTCGACTCGAGAAGTTCAGTACTGGCACGAGTAACCAAACGACGGCGACGCTGAGGAGTAATTCGCGGCGGCGTGTTGTCGCTACAAGAATTGTTCGAGAGCGTCAGGTACTTAAAGCACAAACCACGAAATAAAAAACCTGAATCATCCGATAAGATTTTCAGAAAACACACGGAGAAGTTGAGTCAGATTCCGCCACTTGGTTACGATAAGGGCGGTTTGAAGTTTGTCTAGGAACACGAGAATGAAGTTCCTCATCAGGATCAGATCGAGCCATTTGTTCACTGGATATTGAGGGCGAAATAAGACCCAAAACAACAGACAAAATTAAGTAATAGTCAAACAGCGATACTCAAAGAAAATGTAGAGCCAGCAAAAGTGTAGTATGTGAGCTTTGAAAGAATGCAGATGCAGTTCATGTTGACTCTGTAAAAAGGACGATGCAGAGCAGAATGAATGACATAAACAATCCCAATGAACACATGAAGGCACTACAAAAGAATGCAGGGAACGCAAACCAACCAAAGCAAAGCAGATGGGGCAAGACTCTCAGATAGAGAAGCTTCAGTGTTAAGTTTCCTAGCACAAAAGAAAGGTGGAATTAGTAAAGAAGGCAAATCATAGTTAAGGTTCATCGCAGGCAAACAAACCTTTTCTTGGCTTGTGTTTTTTTTTTGGTAATTTTGCGAGAAGGCACTGGAGCTTTTGACGGGATAAGTTCATCTTGAGCATCATGCGACCGCCTTAAGAACAGGAATATACAGGTTGAGTAATGCGAACAAACAAAGGGACCAAAGAAATAGGCTGAAACTGACCGAGATGGAACGGACAAAGGCGCCATCTGGGTCACAGCGGGCACCCTCGGCCTACGAAAGAGGGGTGAAAACAAGCAAGACATTTAATAAGACACAAGCGAAGAAGAGTAAAGAAACAAAAAAACTGTCAAAGTCAGCACTAAACCTTGCATAACAAGCATCTGCCAGTGTTCCAGTTGATGAAGAAGGCAGTTCAGCATGAGGCCTTGCACAGTTAAGAAAACAGAACATAAGATACAAAGCTAGCCACTCAAACAAAGACATAAGGCCGATCTAGACTACCTAGGCACGTCAGCAGTTGTTGTTGTTGAGAGTCTAGCAATGCGACGCCTCGAACTACTGAAATAAAGGAATACAAAGGAAAGTAAGAAAACAAAGGAGCGACCAGTTTGCGATTATTCTGCCATAAAAAGTCGAGTAAAGATCGCAGACTAAGCCAATAAAAATAGGAACTGAAAGATAAATGTGATTGTAAACACAACAACCTTGGAGAAGCAACAGGTGGGGTAGACAGGAGAGCAGAGTCCACAGGAGACAGGGAAGCACTCACACCAGCAGGCGAAAGATTTGCCGCAGAAGTCGAAGCCTGCCCACTGGTTTGTTAAAATTCGGTATCAGTTAACAACAACGGGTATATAAAAGTGTTCCTACTGCAGGAGAACAGACCGTGCAGGAGGCGACGGAAGAGCCGGTACATCTGTGCCACGACGTTTAGATGGAGGAGATCGAAGAGGAGGTGTGGCCTTGTCTTGGATCAAAACAACGGTAAATTCTGGAGGTCCTCGGGCCAAATAGTCAGGCTTAGGGAGCTGGCAGTCAAACACAATGGCGCGACCATCGAGTGCAAGCACTTCCGGAGGGAAATGGCCATGCTCATAAGGAAACCGCGCTGAAAGTTTGGGTGCAGGCACACCAACCACGGCCTCAGCCGCCTTATTAAGTAGAACGAACGTTGCCGAGCCAGTGAGATCCTCCATGGTAAGTCGAATTTTATAGCTACAGAGCAGACAACAGCATTAGGAAAAAGTAAACAATGCAAGGAACACATAAGAAAGCAATTGTTGGAGTAAAGGTACTAATTTTGGGTCTGCTGCGGTGAAATGCGGAGATGGTCATCACACCAATAATCAGTCTCTTCATAGTTCTTAACTGCTTTGGAACACAAAGAACAACCTAAGTAATACCACTGCCTGGCACAATCAACAGAGGCTACTTTTGCTGAACAATGGTAACGCGTTTTCTGTTGCAGAAATTACAAAAGGATCAGGAAAGGAAGAACAACAAAGTAGGAAGAGTTTAAACAGGTAAGGAAACACAAATGGGAAAGGCAAAGTTTCTTGTTAACAGAACACAGAAAAATGGGTGCACCAAACAAAGAAATCTCAAGCATCGAGCCAAATGGACAATGGAACATCCAGTAGGCAGTCATCAGGACATACAAAAGCAGCAAATGAGCAAAAACAGGTGAAATAAGAACCAGGGAATGAGCGCAAAGGTAGCAGATAGACCAACAATCGAAGGAAGTACAAAAGACCAAAGAAGATAAGTGGATAGCATGGCACAAAACTATGACGATCATAAAAACAATGCAATTCTACCGAGCTGGGAGGCGCACAACACCTCTTGGCAGAGGCTATAAAAAATTGCACTGAAAGAACACAAGCTAATCAAAAAACACACCACTTAGCATCCCAAGTTTTCAAAGTCAAAACTAAACACTCAGTAAAAAAAAAACAATACAGGCAACAATAACTGATAAAAGGCTTACATCTGCGCGTGCCGGTTCACAAAGAGCAAGGAGCTG